TTAACTTGTAAAGCAGCCCCATGTCTGCTGTGAGGATGAATCCCAAGCCAGACCCGGCTCAAGATCAAGACTGCTTTGCCATCAGCTTTTCCCTAGAACTATTCAAAGGTTGGGTGCCTAGTGTTATATCTCCTCTCCCCAGATTCTGTCCTCCTTTGGAGTCCATTGGACTTGGTTGCTGGGCAATGTCCCTTAACTGGCTAAGTCTTCAGCAATGTTCGAGTGCTTTGGATGATGCAAGCTCATTTCTCCACCCCCTTTGTTATTAAAACTACAAAACAGTTGAAGAATCCTTTGGAAAATATCATTTTCTACTCTTAACTTTTATGACTGGGAAAGGTGGGAACATGTTCCCCTTATGTCTGAGGTGAAGATCAAATGGAACTGAGAGCTGGTGAAAAGCAGCTCTTTCAATTAAGGAGACTTTGGGTTTCTGGAAGCCTACTTCTCCTTATTTAGACTGTTAGCTCTAGTTTTGGTTCTTAAACATTCTATGAGGTCCAAATCTCTTTACATCTTTTTTTTAAATTTGCATCAAATGTAGCTGTTGAATTGAAATCAGAGGTAGCGAGTATGGGGCAAGGAGCTCAGATCTGAATTGCCTCATTAAGTCACATTCCAGAAGGTGACAAGGGACCTTTTTTGCTATCTACAAGTAGCTCTGGGCTCCTCTGGCTACCTCTCCACAAGCTTCCCACCCTTCCACATCTACTAGGATGTTAGATATTCCATACAGGATTGTAAAGAAGAATGGAGAAAGAAGGGAGGATTTGGAAGAGATGGGACATGGTGGGAGTAAACATAGTGAGCACATCCAGATGCAGAGAGGACCCAAGAAGTCTTCTAGGCCTAGGATCATCTCCCACTCCCCCAGGTCTCAAGGGTGCCTGAGAAGGATTTCAGAAAGAGTTTGGGAGCCTTTCCTTTCCTTAGGCAGGTAAAACAAGATTCCCAAGAATGGTTCCTGGATCTGTCTTACACCATAGCCCTCTCCCTCAGCCTTGTGCTAGTGGCCTTTCTGTAACAGTGGCTGAAAAATGAGGGAAGAAACCCAAGTCCCTCAGGGCTTTTCAGGAGCATTTTGAAATTGATTTTGACATGCTGCTTGCAGTCAAAGCACAATCTCTTTTGGTTGGGGGCATTTCATTTTTGCCATCAGGCTTCTTGCTGTGAGAAGGGGAAGACGGAATTTCCCGGGCTGACCAGGACTACCACATGTCAAGAGGCAGCCTAGCATTTATTTATCTCTCCCCAGGGCTCCGGAAAGGGGAGAGGGAAGAGGCAGCTGCTCTGTACTCCTTTTAGCTTCTGAGAACTTGAATTCTGTAATCTACTTTCCCTAAAGCTGGGGGCCCTTTTTTAAAAGGAGAGTAGTATACTGGCCAGGACAGGAAAAACTAAGCAGCTTAGTCCCTTCTTGAGTTGTAACCCTGACCACCTCAGTGCACCACACCCCCAACACACACCTTAGAGTTTCTCTCCTAGGGATCTAACCAAAGCTAACCAATTAAACCAATACCAGAGTTAACTGTGGCCACTCCTATTCCATCTAAGTCATGGGTGGACTTTTCTTAAGTATCACTTGTCTCTCCTCATCCAGGACTGAGTCTCCCTCAAAAAGAACCAACACTTGAATTTTTAATCCAAGAAACAGCTCCATGACCAGCCCTCCTTTGTAAATCCATTCAGTCTTTAATGCACTGGGCTGCCAACCGACTCCCTTCAGACAATCTGCTACAATTCGGCACAATCCGTTTCTAGGGTGAAAGGAGAGCAAGGAACGACCCCTAGAAGATGATCTTTGATTAGTGGGCATGGGCAGGAAAGATCTGACTCGGGCCCTCATTCAGTTGTCTTGTGCCCCTCCCCCAACCCACATCAGTGGAATTGGGAAAGGGTTTGCTTGCTAATCTACATTGAGAAATAAGTTAGTCAAGAAGACTGGTCACTTAAAATTCCCATCCTCCCTCCTTTGAAAAGGAGATTTTCTTGCCGATAATTCAGGACGAGGGTTAGAAAGGTTTTTCCCTGGGCTTCTCTCTCCTTGTATTTCTAATTCGAGGCTGGGATCCTTTGTGAACTAATTACTGTAATTATAACCTCCTTTTGAGACAAAGACGGAGAGGGAGAGAGAACAGACATTTTCCGAAGTTATTTTTTCAAAAAGAAAATTACCGTCGAGGGGGAAAAAATTCTGTAAGGCAAGACAAATTAGGTCCCCGTATGCTTCTAAACCAGTTTGTTTCTAAAGAGAAGTATAAATATCCCTAATACACCCAACCTGGTCTAAAGTTTGGAGATCTAATTGTATCTAAATTTAGCCTCAAAAGGGAATTGGAACCTTCACTCAAAAAAAATGTTTTTCTCCTTGCCACAGAGTGAGATGTAGGTGCTAGAATTTGAAAATTCAATATAGATTTGATCCATTTCTTCCACCTGTTTCTTGGTTCTTTCTTTTTTTAAAATTTGTTTTAGTAGAGATGCAGCTTTTCTGCCCATTTAGCCACAGGGGGGTAAAAATCATTGCAACTTCCTACGTTGATGCGTTGAAGCTGAGCATCCTCGAGAACAGATTTTAATATGGCTTTAAATAAAGAAGTTTCGTCCTCGGTCCAGATGTATACTGCTAGAGAGAGACACCTTTCCCCGAAACCTGTTCTCTCGTTTACAGAATTCTGAGCGGTAAGGTCTTTGACCCCTAAAATTGCTATTATAGTTCATGAGCCTAGGAAGCTATTGAATTGGGGGTGGATACTGCCTCCTCCTCCCCAGCCTATCCGAATCACTCCCACCCTAAAAGTCACGATTTTCTTTTCTTCCTTCCCAGTCGTGCGTGTGTCATCCTGACCCTATTCTTTTCTCCTTCCAGTGACCCTTCAATGTCGATACAACGGGTCACGCCACGTTTCTCAATGGCCTCCCCCAGATTGGACTGTAATGAAAGGGGACAACAAGGAAACCAGATCTTCTGACGTGGAAGCTTTTCCTCTATACCTCACCTCCTACGAGTCAATCTCGGGGGAGAAGGGATAGATGATAAGCTCCCCCATCTCTGACCCTCAAACCCGAGTCCTACGGAACCTATTCGGCTTCGAGTCCAGGAATTTTTTGTCCCCATAGGCGCTGATGTGCACTTTACTGGGGAGGATGGAAAGACGGGAAGGTGGGAAAAGGGTCGTACAAAAGACTAAGAGATGGGTGCTGTTTTTCTGTTTAAAGCATTTTCAGTGTCTACAGAAGCGTCACCTTGGGTGGAGGTAGTAAAATTCCCCGGTATTGAGGTCTAAAAAATGAATATGAGCACAAATTCATCCAAAGAAATAACCTTCATGCCTAGAGCACAGAGAGAGGTGGACGATGAACATACGTATTAAGATGGAGGTACATATATAGAGATCTACAAAGATGGACCATTTCCTCTAAAGACGGTGAATTTTTCATCTCCTCGAGTCTAGTGGGTGCTGTAGAAAGCTAACTAAAATGGCAGCTACATGTCTAAGTTGGTGCTCACAAGGATGGCTTGATCAACAAAGCTACCTCCCTTTGTTCAGACTAGAAATCGCTGGGACCACTGAGTGGGGAAATCATGTGATTTTTGTTTTTCCATTATTAAGAGAGGAGACTCGATTTCACCAGAAACAGCAAGACTCTCCTCCCATTCCTAGGTGAAGGGATCATATTACTCCACTTTGAAAATTGGGGGGTGGGGGGTAGGAGAGAGGGTTTCTTTTTCCTACGACCACAAATAAAAAGCAAAAGCTGTAGGCCGCAGTCATGCAACCAGTGCGTTTCAGCTCTGGTCTGGAAAACATACATCTGAGTTTGAGACAACTCGAATTCCAATTATTCTGTTTCTCTCACGGCATGCTTGGCGCGCACACGCCGCGTTTAATTTCTTAGCAGTATCTGTCCTTTAAACCCAACAACGCTTCTGCGGGCCAAGGTCAAAGCTTGACCCTGAGACGCCAATCTCCCCAAGCCTAGGAGCTCTGTGCTTTCGCCCCCTCCTAAGAAATATTCATTTGCTTCTCCTCAGACCTGGGCTCCACAATGACAGCCTCCCGCGTGGAATTTAATTGTCTCGGTCAAAACCTTGATCTCCCACCTCAGCCTCCAGTCTCTCATATACAGTCCATCCCCCTACTGTGCGGTCAGCTGCGGCGGAGAGGGCGCTCCCCTGAGGTTTGAAGCGGCTCACTAACCTGACATTAGACTCTACTAAGGAGCTGAAATGAGTCCATCAACACCACCCACGCCCCTTTCCCTGACAGTCCCCTCCACTCCGCTAGAAAATGTAGCCACTTCCTCGCCAAAAGTCCGTCAGCAGCTGTCCGGCCGCCTGTCGTCTTGTTGTCCTCGAACTGAGACCACATCTCCTTCCCCTACTCCCTCCCTCACCTCTGCCTCCACTCCCAGGATCTCAGCCCTTCAACTCTCAGTCCTTGGATGGTTAGAGAGCACGGCCCTCAGTAGCTACTCCTCCCCCTTTTCTTCCGACCATCCCCTAGGTAACCCAAAGTCAGTTCTCAAACGAGAAAGAACGGGGGGGGGGGGGAATTATTTAATAAGCTCCGCTCCGCAGCCTTTCTGTATCGTAAAGCTCTTGCCTTGCTACTGCAGGTAAGGCAGTTCTGAGTAGGGGCTGTGAGTAGGACTGGGCTTAGGACCTCTCTCAGGACCCTGGACAGTTCTCTACCTAGCCAAAGGCCAATAGCCTGAAGACGCGCTTACACCCATACACATCCTCTCCTGCTCTTGCTGGCCCCAGCCACCGAGCTTCACACCCTCTTGTTCCAGTTCGCGCGCACCACTATCCGTCTCTCACGCTCACGATTTTGTCTTCTTTCCTCACACTTCCATCTCCCTTCCCCTTCCTTTCTTCACTTCTCTTCCAACTACTCTCTCTCGCTCTTCTTCTTCTTCTTCTTCTTCTTCTTCTTCTTCTTCTTCTTCTTCTTCTTCTTCTTCTTCTTCTTCTTCTTCTTCTTCTTCTTCTTCTTCTCTTCTTCCTTCCTTCCATACCATCCTCCTGGGTACCTTTTGCTTGGCTGGAAAGAGACATTTCTCCCTAACTCCCCCTTCCATTTTCTACAGCCCCTCCCCCGTGTGGGTTCCAAGCTGAGCACAGCTGCTGCTATAGGCGCTGCTGTTCACCTAGTACACACACACAGAGTTGCTGAGCGTGACACACTCACCCACCCACACGGCCACTCCGGGACTCCCCAGGGTGCTCTCTCCCTCCTTCACACACTCACGCGCCCAGACTCACGCACAGGCACGCAGGCACTGAACGGATAGCTTCTCGCCTGCAGTTGGCACTCTCATTTCCCTGTAGCAGCCTCGCAGCGCGGATGGCATCTACGGGCTCTGGCTTCTGGTCCTTCGGGTCCGAAGATGGCTCCGGGGACCCGGAGAACCCTAGCACAGGTAAGAAGCTGGAAAACCAAGATACTTGACCTGTGGAGCTGGGGACGTGGGAGATGGAAACAAGAAGGGTTTCGAAAGGAGGGATAAGAGGGAAGCGGCTGGGTTTGTTTTCGTGTGTGTGTGTGTGTGTGTGTGTGTGTGTGTGTGTGTGTGTGTTTTGGAATTGTTTTTGGTAGTTGGTGCTGGTAGCTCGTTTTCACCTGCAGCACGAAAAGTTCTCAGGGTGCATCCCTTATGTTATGTCCAGTTGACCCAAATAAGCTCAAGCTTCTAAGCTCTCCTTTCACCCATGCGTTCACCTGACGCCTGAGGAGGGGTTTCATACATCTCTGGGTTCCTTTCACCCGAACGAGACCGGAGCCCCCAGTGTCTCTCCAACCTTGGTCTCAGCTCTTTGAATACTTACCTCCTCCACCTTCTTCCGGGACTGGGGAAAGAAGCAACGCTTGACTTGAAGTCAGTAAATTTTATTTCGATTCCCCACCCTGATCCTAATTCTGTGACCCTGAGTAAAGCACATCCTTTCTGTGTCTGAGTAACTCTACTCTAAAATGGGGACAAACCTTGCCTACCTCCAGGTGTTTAAGGAATGCTCTTTGAAAACCTTAAATCGCTATAGAAAGGTGATTTATTAAGAGATTCGGCATGGGGGAGGGGGACGGTAGCATGGGTGAATGAATGAAACAAGGAATAGAGGAGGGTTAGCAAGGAGAACATCTTTCCGAAACAGGGTTGGAGAGAAAGGTTGGAGAGAAAGTAATTCTTTGCCCCATTATTTGGACTGAAAACGATCTTTAAGACAAAGTGGGGAAAGGTCTCGTTGACTGCATCTTAGTCAGCAGTTTGTTAAATAGGAATAGCCCTAGGGCTGGAAATCTTTTTAAAGGATTAGTCACCTTTCTGCAGCCCGGTCCCACTTTCTTGACAATCAAAACCTCCAAACCTCTCTTTGTTTCTCTCTCCTATCCCTAAATCCCTTCTCCAGCAAGAGCCTGGTGCCAGGTTGCCCAGAAGTTCACCGGAGGCATTGGAAACAAACTCTGTGGTAAGTGTGAAGCCCGGGGACTCAGTGACAGAATCTGGTGATAGGGAAAGGAAGAACGTTAACTAAGTAGTCGGTCCTCTTTTTTTTTTTTTTAACCTAAAACTGGCCAGAGCCTCAAATCCCTTTGCCCGATGACAGCTAGAGGCCTGGGGCTGCGGAACGGGGTCCCTCTGTTCTCCAGGCCTCAGACTGAAGCTCCATCTTATATATGCTTCTTCAGCCTTGCTGTATGGAGACGCAGAAAAGCCGATGGAAACCGGCAGCGAGGAGACTCAGGGATCAACGGATAAAAAGACTGTTTGTACTTGCAATCAGAAGCCCTGTAGCTGTCTCAAAATGGATCTCAATTACGCGTGTTTACACTCAACAGGTAAAAGCAAGGTGGTTTCCCCACATCGGGGCTGAGGGCTTTACAGTTTCAGTCTCCAAACGTACGCAAGAGGCACCCCTCCCACCAGCTCGCCTACACTTCCTGCCCCTCCTCGAAGTCACAAGCTGGGCCCTGAGCCCCAAGCGGTGGAATAGGTGAGGCAGTCGAGAAGAGTGGCAAGGCGGGGACAGGTGGAGGTGGTCCGAGAGGGCAATCTTCCTCTGAACTTACTAAATCACTGGCTTCCTCTGCCACCGATTAGCACTTTTGCATCCGGTCTGCCTTCCCCCGCCCCTGAGCATTTCCAGAATCGCCACTCTCCCCTGCCCGTCCCCCCTCGCCCTCTCTCCGAAATCAATAGAGAACGCAGGCAAAGGCAAATTGCTCTAGATCCCGGTGGAAGGTCAAGGTCGCGGTGCTGCCTTACGCATCGCATCATTGAGTCCTGGTACTGGCTTCTCAATACCTTGATAATCAAAAGATACAGTGGTATCCCCTCCCCCCTCAAACTTAGTACCCAGACACCTTAAGAACAAGAAGCCTCGGTGTTTTTCACCTGGGAAATTTTGGTCAATGTCTGTGTTAATGTGGTATAACATCGGCCACTGAGCTTATCATAGGTCTTAGGACTGAGAGAACAATTTTCCGCCAAAGAACAATTCTATTTGAATGACGACAACAGTGACAACACACACACATCTTGTTGGCCTCCAGAATCAAAGGACTTTCCCAAATACAGTAACATTTTCCCATTGCATATTCAACTGTGCCCATTTTTACCTTCATGTCAGACAACTCCCCATACACAGAGTAGAGTCCTTTAACGCAAAAATGTAGCAATAAAATAAGTCCGTACCCAACGCCCAGCTAGGGCAAAGGCTTCCCAAATAAGCCACCACAATGGTCTGTAAAGATGAATGCTAGAATTTGCCTATTGGATTTCTTATTATTATAAGCTTCTTCCTGAAAAAGCAAAAGGAAAATGTTTAGTATTTCCAAAGCTTCCTACTAATGTATAAACATAGGAATTGAGAGGGAAATCTGCTTTTTATACAAACAAAATAAGGTTGACTCTGGATTGCAGAAGAGATGAAGCCATAATGTTTTCTGAGCAGGGGTACATACATGATTTTTACATGCATGCGTATGACATTTTAAATTTCTTGGCATGGGTTTGTCCCCCCAGATCTGTTGCCAGCATGTAACGGAGAAGTGGCCACTTTGTCTTTTCTCCAAGAGGTAATGGACATTTTGCTTCAGTATGTGGTGAAGAGTTTTGATAGATCAACAAAGGTGATTGATTTCCATTACCCAAATGAGCTTCTTCAAGAACATAATTGGGAATTGGCAGATCAGCCACAGACCTTGGAGGAAATTTTGTCCAACTGCAGAACAACTCTAAAATATGCAATCAAAACAGGTACTGTCTGGGCAGAAATTATAAATGTCTAATGTTTCTTTCTGTATTTTCATACAAAATCATAAGAATCAGTTTACCTAAAGAAAATTATATTATTCAATTTTATAGTTATTGATATTTCTGAAAACTTACAGCATTTGTCACTTTTTACTAATGTCAGTAAAAAGAAAGAGTCCTTTTAGAAGGCTGGGTTGTGGGGGGGGGGGTTTCTCACCTGGGATATTTACACCTTCATTACAATGATATTTCCATGGAAGTTTACCTGGTATAATATATAAATTAGAAATGTTTTTTTTTCTCTGTTTCTACAAATTTCTTGGTTATTCTTGATTCATGCAAATTGCTACCTTTTACACTGGACACATTTTGTTATGCAAATTAACTGCCCCTCCCAAAGCAATCTCTTTTTGGAAAATACCAACATAATGAACTTAAATGGAAAAAGAAACAGAAAATATTTTATTTATAAATAAAAGATGAAAAAGCATCTTTGGAACCGAAGTCCCGAATGCTAGCTATGCCCCACTAGCAATTTCCTTAGTAGGCATGGTCACCCGTACTGTCACTAGTCTGTTTGCTCACTGTATTAGTGAGGTAATTTTTTTTTTGGCACTTAATCAAGTAACTGTAGATTTAAAATCTGCATTCCAGATTCCCGATATTGTTTAAATTACTGTTTTTAAACACCCGGAGAAAAGCTTAGCAATTCAATGGTGTTGAATGAGGGAGAATATTCTTGAATGCAACTGGGTAAATGAAGCAAAAAGGGGAAATCTGATCTCTTAACAGGAAAAAATGGGTTTTTTTCTTCACACAGTGGTATAAACATTGATTTTCCCCTGTCCAATGTTATTCACATGCATTTTATAGCCAGAAATATTACATTTATGCAGATGCTTCCAAGATTTCATTTTTATTTCTGTAAAGTCAGCTGTTTATTTCTATCCAGGTCATGATTATCCTCAGATCTCATACATTCAACTGTTAATCACCAAGACACATGGACCCCTTTAGGCTAATTTTTTAAAATAAGAATTATAATAAAAAATAAATAAATATTTAATGACCAAAATCATTGCGCTATATTTTAAAAAGAAACAAAAAGGAGATGAATATACCTTTTGCATTTAAATATATATGCAATTTCAAAACTATTTTTATCAGAAAATGAAAATGTAGAATAGCCTTTGCATTGAAATGTGATTTGGCATTGACAATTTTGCCCTTGGCCACCTCCACTGTCATCATCCTTAACCATTTACTGAGTCTCTATTATACAAACTAGTCAAAGACTTGATGGAAGGTGTTTTTTGCTTTTCCTGTTTTTTGTTTGTTTTTTTTGGGGGGGGGATTGGTTAATGAGGGCTACTAAAAGCCTTGAACTAAAAGGAGTATTTTCAATATTTACATATCTGTAGCTTTAGGGCTGTGAAGGCTTTTACACAAAGGAAAAAGTAAATTTAGTAGATGAATTTTATCAAACTCATTGTCTGAGGCAAAACTGAGTTCTGCTCTTTGTGACCCATATAAAATATTGTTATATTGTAGGATAGATTTAGAACTGGAATCACCATTAATTAATACTTTCGGGTTGCCAAGATGGGGCCATGACACTATATTAGGCAAGGAAAATATGGTTGTTACACTTTAAACATGATATGAACATAGAAACATAACTTTTTTTTCATTCCCTGTTAACATGTTGTCCTTAAAGGAATTTAAGTGGTGCTTGTTATATGCTTCTAAAATGGTAAATCACTGCTTATTATTTTTATTGCCACAGAATCAAAAACAATTTAAGAAAATTTTTACATTTCAATTTTGTAAAAGTCCAGTGACTTTTGAAATTCAATTTTAAGAGTCAAAAAGAATGGAAATTGCAAGTGAATGAAATTAAGTTTCTGGCCATCAATGTTCCATTTAATGTCAGAAAGAAATCGGCCAATTCCATACTTATCTTTTCCCACAATTGGTGAGGAACTAAATGATAATCAAGGACAGCTTTAATGTTTTTTTTAAACTTCAAATGAAAAATTGGATTAATCAGGCTAGTTCTCTGGCCCAGTGGTGTCAATGTCCAGAGAAGATCTCAATAAGATTTGTAGAAACACTGCATCTTCTGACTCTGTGAAAATGTGTGGCTTATTAGAGACAAATTCCAATTGCTTCTTTAACTGACAGATTTTTTTTGTACTGTCCCTTGTCTTGTTTGATTATTACGATTATTTAGTTATTGTCAAAGTGTTTATCATGCTACTACTCCCGCTGAGTTTCTTTCTGTCCTTTTGTGGATTAGAAGCTTACATGTTAACATTCCTTTATCCTGGGCGATCTTAACCTGATAATCACTGGCTGCCTAATGCACTTCAGGCTAAAAGGCAGGTGGGAACAGCTTAAAAAATTAATTTCATGTTTCCTGTTGAAATTTCTACTTCTTTACACAATAGAAAGGTGGGTTTTAAAAATTATCACAGTGGAGATTGTTGGATTCAAACTTCTTTATTTCTTTGACACTTAAAAAGAAAATACATCCTAGCCTCTAAGCCAGCAGTAAAACTCAAGGAATTGGTGTCTTTAATAAGCCTGAATCTATGGAGATGATAAGGGGCAGGCTCATTTACACACGGAACTGTTTTATAATGAGGTTTTGCATCCTACCCACCTGTTTAGCTTTACGGGTTGGACACATTCATTCCTTATCTTTCAGGTTAGCAGAGCCTAAGAAGGTGTCAGGATCTTTGGCTAAGCTATGGAGAGGTGGAAGCTGCTGGTCACACCCTGCTATATATTCCCCACTAGCAGCTAAATGCATGCATTAACATTAGCTTCCCAGGGAGCTGTTCATCTGTCCTTCTCAGCAGAAGGAGAGCATGGAATAGCAGCAGTGGCAGCAGCTGGTTGGAAAGGGTTGTGGAAACAGCTGGGCACATTCAGAGACAGGTCCCACCAATAGCCCTTTATGGGAGAGGCAATGTGGGAAGAGGGTGGAATCCTTTGCTAGGATCCCATAGGCTCTACTTTGAGCCCATAAGGAATGATCAAAAAATTGAAAATGTAATTAGTTGGAATGCTTCTCTTGGCCTGCCAAGAGAACCTGTGGCCTCTCCAAAGCTGCAGATCAGTTAACATTGACTGAGAGACTTATTAAGGAGGGAGAAATACATGTAAAGATGGAAGAGCGAGGATATTTTTGTTGCTAAACAATACAAGTAACAGACTGATCTTTCCAGTTTGCCTAAGGTAGCCATCAGGATGGCCCACCCTGCCACTATGAAATGTCTCATGGTCCCAATTAGTTTCAAATGTAGTAAAGTTTCAGTAAGGTTAAATGGGGCACAATAATAGGACCTCAAAGAAATCCAGAGGTGACTCTGTAGACATATAGGAAGATTGATGCATAGGAATGCTAAGCTTAATAGTTTTAAAGAAAACTATGGGGAAGGGAAATGACATGGCACTAGGAGAGAAAAGCAAGCTATGTGTTCAGCAGAGGGCTGAAATGGAATGCAGGCAATGAGGCAGAGAAGAATGGGAGGGCTGTTCCAGGCAGTAGCCAGGAGCAGGAAAGGAGGTTCTCTCACCCAATATGGAAGGGTAAAGCTGAAAAGGTTGGCATTAGAGGGCCTGAAAGGCAGTAATGGGAGACAAAGGCTCTGAACAAGGCCACATACAGTTAATATAATACTGGAAGAAGCACAAAGCCTGAGACTCTTTAATTTTCAAAAGCTCATTCAGAGTATTATATCTTCCTTTAATGCATAATTTTCTAGCAACATGCCTAGGTCTGATAAGAGACCACTACAGCCCAGGAGATAAGTAGCATGCTGATTTTCGCCCCTGTTTTCCCCATAACTATCCTTTATCTTGCCTTTCCCATATGAAGATTGTGAGCTATCACTATTCCTAGTTTAAGACAGATGCTCAGAAAGTGGGAAATGTCTTTTTATCAGATTGTATGCCTTCAGTTGTTCATCTTTCAAAATTCTGGCTGTTAACAAAATCAGAGAGCCTGAGACAAGCATCTGTGGGGCAGAGTGTATAAATGAATTCTAACATGGCACTGGAAATCCCATTTTAAAAAATAATATCCCCAGGGGTATTTGAAGTCAAACCCCTGAGAAGGTTTTTAGAAAAACCCAGAAGTCAATTAGATCAGCCTTGTAAATGGATTAATCAGACCATCAAATATATTCCCAAGCATCATTCTGACTTGACAATGATGTTGAATTTAATTAGGTTTATTTAAAATCACAATTATGAGAGAGCTCTTCTATTTACAATCATCTATTCTGACAGGGAAGAAATGACAAATATTAGACTCATCTACCCCATTTTTTAGACAATCATCAGCCTTTGAATCATGGGCAAAGCAGTCAGAAAAGTTTCCCATTTTCCCATTTTTGTCTGGTCTTTTATCATCATTAGCCATTCATCACTGATGTTATTATCAGTGTTTGGCAGGCCTCTCAGTGTCTGCCTCTTGAAAGCATCACAGATCTCCCCTGTCCCCCAAAAGATTTTAATAGCATCATAAGCCATTTAAATAAGAGGTTGCCCATCTTTGGATTGGCACCATACATTAGATTTTCAGCTACATTGAATGAAGCACAGGGAAACAAAATGGTGTTCAGATTCCCAACCATGCTTTGGAATTGAGGAATGATATTTTAAAGCAAAGAAAGCCAAACTTGAAAGCAAATACTCTTGTAGAATATAGGAAATATTTTCCTACTGCCCAAAAGATTGCCCCAATCTTCTTTAGACAGGTAAATTTTGTGTTCCAGAATTATTTATTTCTACTAGATGAGACCATAATCAAAGTATTCTGATTTATACATAGGTCATCCTAGATATTTCAATCAGCTTTCTACTGGATTGGATATGGTTGGATTAGCAGCAGACTGGCTAACATCAACAGCAAATACTAATATGTAAGTAGCTAAATTTGCCATTGTGTAATCCAGGTTAACTTTCAGTGAGATGCTATAGTCATTGCTCCAACTCCTTTGGAAAAAAAATTTTTTAAATATTTTAAAGAAAAAATTCAATAGCATCTACAGTATTGGTGTGAGTTTCAGGAGTGGTTTGTGGCTTTTTGTGGGATTACAGAAAACAATCTAGTAATATCCATCACAAAAATCTAAAGACAGCTGTGTGAAAATGCAAAAGGCAAAATATTTTTGTAGTTTGCATATTTAAATATGTATAATATGAAAAAGAATGGGAACAGATGCTATCCTTTGAATCATGTTACTTTGTAAAATTCCTTTTTTGCCTTCTCTATGATCAACCACATTTGTGCATTTTGCCATTAATTTTTACTTTTAACTTCAGGGATCAAGCAAAAATAATGAGACCTATTGATATACATAATCCTCTGTGCTGACTATGTTATAACCTTAATGTGATATGAATGTGACATTTATAGCAGGGAACAATTCTAAAGACATTGTAAGTGCTAAATTATTGCTTTGGGTGATAAAAATAAAATGTGAACATTACTGCATTTCAGGTTCACCTATGAAATTGCTCCAGTGTTTGTACTTTTGGAATATGTCACATTAAGGAAAATGAGAGAAATTATCGGCTGGCCAGGGGGCAGTGGTGATGGGATTTTTTCACCTGGTACGTGTTCCTTCATACTTTCTTTTTGTTTCTCATCTAATGATGTGTTATGCCTTGAAATGAATCTAGATAAGATAATGAAACCTTGCTAATGAGAGCTCTCCCACTAATAATATTTGGTGCATCTCTAGGTCTGTTACTGCATAAATAAATGCTCAAGAAATACATAGATGAGGTTGGTAGAGACTTAACTGTCCACCACTGTTGACTTCTTCAACTTAGCCATCCTGTTCTGGGATTAGCAATAGATGCACACGAAAAGCATGATTAGAAGTGACATTTGCCCTGAAGTTCTACTGTGATCCCACTTTCTTTATAGGTCATATGAAACCAAGAAATATAGTGTTCTTAATAAAGGAGAGATTCTTTGTAGCTCTCCAATTTGAAAGTGAAAAGTCCCATTAAAAGGAAAATTTAGAATAAATGAATAGCATTTTACGTTTTTATATAATAGAGCATTCCAGGAACGGAGAGAGGGAGGGAAGAAAGCAGAGAGAGAGCAAGACAAAGACAGAGAGACAGAGACAGAAAGACACAGAAACACAAAGAGACAAAGACAGTGAGGGACACATAGGGGCAAAAAGAGAAATATATATTATATGTATATAATATAATTTTATATATATATATATATATATATATATATATATATATATTCCTAAATCCCCTCTTAGACAAAGATATCTACCCTCTAGATTGTCCCTAGCTAAAGTTATTGAGGGAAAATGGTGCCTCAATAGATAATCTTCTGGAAACAACAAGGGATGATGATTTCTTTAAGAGATTTCTGTTTCCTCTTCTTTCACTATTCAGCCTTTCCATCCTCTTCTTTTAAAATCATCATCCATTGTACTTCGAAACTCCATTATTCAAAATTACTTTCACTGAGGTCTTCTCTCCCAGACAAGAAAGCAATCCTAAAAGGAGAGCTATGCCCTTGGTTATTAGGACTACCCACGGACTTAGTTTATTGGAAGAGAGGAAATGTGTTTTAAAAAAAAAAAAGCAGATCAAAATAGGAAGAGGGATTCACTGACCCAGGGAAAAGAAAGATGGTGTCCTGATTATCACCTAATCAGTGACAGGCTGATCTAAAGAGATATACAAGGCTCAGAGCTCACTGTCTGTGCTCATTGAAATGAGGCCTCCTGAGGAAGCCATGGTCTAGACTGTCATTTGGTCAGAAACAGATAATAGAATCTGTCAAAGGACAAGCATCGACCTCTCTTCTGTAGGACTACAAAGATTAAAATCTACTAAGACAAGAAATGGAAGAAAGCAAGTGAAAAGAAGGAATGAAAATGTACTTATATAACCAAATCTAGGATTGAAATTAACCAGGGTGACACGGACTTTCAGATCTTTTTTTTTAAAACTAAGATTTAAATAAACAAATAGGATTTTTAAAAATTATTCAGTTACCCAAAGTGAGAAAGGCCTAAGGAAAGGCATATAAGGGACAGTGGGACTTTAAAAAAACAATTATTAAATTAGCAAATTCCAAATTGTCCTGAATTTCCCAGGAAAGTTAGGATGTATATCCCTGGGAGAAGAATTATTATTTGGGGTTTCATCAGCACATAGGGCCAATATCTACCAAAGTATTTTGTATGAAGAATTGGAAATCAATTCCAAACACTACTTTCCTCTGGCTCCTTTTATAAATTTGGCAGGTAAGTACAATCACTCCTTCCCACCCATCCATCCCCCCCCAAAAAAGTCAGGTATTTTTGTCAGGTGACCTATGGGACAATCTATACTTTTTGCCCTTTTCCTGGGGGAGAATCTACCTGGTAAGTTGGTATTTGGGGCATTTTCCTGATCTGCCTTGTAGGAGCTGTATAATCTTGGAGCATATGCACCCCAAGGACAATGTGCCCTTTCTTAAGAAAACCCAGAGAATCCTCATAGGTCACTCAGGTGACTAAAATCACAGCCCCTGTTTTGGGATGGGAGCCTCAAGGCCTCCATCTGCTCTTCAAGATTATGATGGAAAATTGGAAGGAAGAGGCTACTCTGGGTCCATCATAAGGCTTTTGCCAGACCCCAGAAACCTGCCAGACCTCACCTCTTAGCTCAGAGGGCCCCCCTGATAATAACCAGAATTTATATTGTGCTTTAAAGTTCCCAAAGCATTCATTCAATCTCAACAACAACCCTATGAGATAGGTAGTACTATCCCCATTTTACCAATGAGGAAACTGAGGCCAAAAGAGGTTAAGTGACTTGTCCAGCATCACACAAGCAGGGTTTGAATGAGTCCAGTATTCCTGACTCCAAGGCCAACACTCTGTCCATGACAGTACCTAGCTCTGGTCACATGTCCTTCTAGGATTATGTGACTACACAGACATTCAAAAGTGAGATAGAACAAAAGTCACCAGATATAACTGACCATCAAACTAAGAAAGATGATGCCCTTATTGATGCTTTCCAAATGAGCTGAAACTGGGTCAAGACCAAATTCATGCATAGAGCACGTGCCCAAGTGTGCCAAGTGATGTAAGTAAAACAATTGCCCCTTCCCCTGCCCCTCAGGGAAAGGGTCCATAGTAACACCCTCACATAGAATCCTAGGATCGTAAATGTATAACTGTAAGAGACATTGGAGGAATTAATTATCCAATACCCATTTATATATACATAAATACATGGACATGGACAAATATGTATGCAAATAATAACAGATATCATTTGTATAGCAATTTAAAGTTTGCAAAGCACTTTACATGTGATCCCATTTGATCCTCACAATAACCATGTAACATGGGGGCTATTATTATTGCCATTATGACAGATGAAGAAACTGAGGCTGTGAAAGAGTTTAAGTTGACTTGCCTTTGATCACACAGCTAGGAAGTATCTGAGGCCGGATTTAAACTGGATCAAATCTTCCTGACCCCAAATCCAACATTCTATGCCACTTAGCTGACTATTTCTCTCTCTCTCTCTCTCTCTCTCTCTCTCTCTCTCTCTCTCTCTCACTCTCTTTCTCTCTCACTTCTCCCTCTCTGTCTCTGTCTCTCTGTCTCTCTCTCTCTCCCCTCTCCATATATTTATATATATATATATATATATGTGTATATATAATATACATACATACATATATATAATATACATACATACATACATACATATATATAATATACATACATACACACACATATATAATATACATACATACATACACATATATATAATATACATACATACATACATACACACACACACACACACACACACACACATATATATATATATGTGTGTGTGTGTGTGTGTGTGTGCCTAGAGGTCAATATAATGACCCAGGAGGCCCACAATACTACCCTGAGACAGACAGACATACACACACACACACACACGCGCGCATCTTTATGCATATATATAGGAATGTATGTATTTATATGGAAAGGCATCACCAGGAGTTTTATGAATTTGGATGTGGGTCTGTAACAATGCAGATCAGGGGCAATATATGAAGGTCAGCAGGATCTGGTGGGGAAAAAAACCATTGGATTTCAAATCTAATGTGTTCTAATTCCACCTCTCATTTACTACCTGTGTGATCATGGACAAGCCACTTAACTTCCCTGTGCCTCAGTTTTCTCCTATGTAAAATGGATGAGTTGGACCAGATGGTCTATAAGGTCCCTGTCTAACTCTAAATTTATAATCCTATGATCCATGACCCAGGAACTTAGCAAGTTAATAAGCCCTCTCCCCATCACAGTTAAACAAAACCAGTGCCCACACCTATGTTTCTTAAATATTTCTCTAAGCAGGAAAAAAAAACCCTTCAATTTATCTTATGTGAGTCTGATCTGAAGATATAACGGAACATAAATAAACAGGATTTTCTCCTCCTTCTTAAAAGGCGAATTGTTTACTAATAGAAAAGCAGGCAGCTGGCCTTAAGCATTCAACTTGGGAAAGAAATAAGAGTTTAGTTTCTTAGAAGAGTAATACATGTTAGCTAAAGGAATTTGCAGGTGTCTGCTGGCTTGGGGCCATGAGGGCAGCAGGAAGAGAATCAAGTCAGAAAAAAGGAGTTGCATTCCTTGTTGCCTGGACTGCTGTGGCCAGGCAGTCACAGAACCAGACAGAAATCCTCTTGCTTCCCAGGGAAAACACTAGGAATGCACAGCACAGATCATTAGAGCCTGAAGGGACTTTAAACATCAGTTTGTATAACTCCATTTTACAGATGAAAAAACTGAGACTTAGAGAGGTAGAGTAACTTACTCAAAGTCAACATAGCAAGATGCACATTAAGTGAAAAAGTAGGGACAGGGGTAGAATCCAGGTTTCAGGCTCACCAATTTCTCAGTCTATGAGAACACCAAATTTAGTGAAATGAAACTGAAGAAGGCTAGAACCTCACAGAGAGAAGGTCAATGTACACCATTTGTGGCATCACTTTGTGGGAAACTGGCAGGATCACAGGATCAGAAGCTGGAAGAGACTTTAAAGGTTATCTGGCTTGACCCTTTCCTTTTGCAGATGAGGAAACTGATGATGAGAGATATGAAGTGACTTGCCCATGGTCACTCAAATGAAACTGGTCTCCAAACTCAGTGTGGCTTCAGGGGTATGGTTAGGTAATCCTTAAAGTTACTGCCTTGGTAAACAATCATGAACATTACCCTTAAGACAGGGGAGAAGGGAAGATGATGAGAAGGTCTATGCCATACCACATGTCTGAGATAGAAGTTCCAAAGTGGGACCAGCAATTTTCATGTCACTTAATCTCCTGGGGCCTCAGTTTCCCAAGGGGGTTGGACTAAACAGTCCTAGAAGCCCCTTCCAGCTCTAGACCTCTGGTATGAAGACATTGCTGCCCTCTTGGACATAGAAGCAGATTTCTTTTGAAGTCGTTTCAGTCTCTGCCTCAATTAATTTACCTGGACAGCTTGGACAATCTGGACTTTCACAAAGTCTTTCCAGACATGTAGAGACCTCAGATTCCCTGCCATCCTGGTACTACATCCCTATTGACCCTACTCCCCTACAGAGGAAGAATTTGCATTTAGGTCCCTTAAAAAAGATGGACCCTGGGGGATACTTTGCCTGTGACCTCTTTCTACAAAGATGTATCTATTGACCCACCATTAGCATGGTTAGCATATTGAGGTCTTCATCAGCAATAGTTATGAATTTGCACATCCAGTCACCCCATCCCCTTATGACCAATGGTGTGAATTTGCCAAAAGGCTGGCTGGGATTCAGGGTACAACATAAGACTATATGACATGACAAAGTTCATTTGTCTTCATGGAAATTGAACCCATAAGCAGAGGTTCACTTTGGCTTTTAATCTACGGGGTGGAACACCACAGGTGTTGGCTCATTTAGGAACAAAGAAGGAGCCAGACTCATTCTCATTATTTACTTTCCTCCTTGACTACCATCCACTTGCATAGATTTATTCCATCTTAAGATTCACTTCTTATGGTACACATAAATGAAGTGAATCACATAGGGCTTCCCTGGGCAATCCCTACATCTAGAAAAAGGTCAGGGTCTTAATATGAAGATATTTCCCCAGACTTCTGAAGGTAGCAAAATTCTCCCTGTTTTTGGGAAGCCCCTCTCCCTAGAGGTAAATATAATTGTCATCAATGCTTTAAAAAAACACAAAGAGATTTGCAATCTGGGATTTGGAATTTGGAATACTCCACTTTTACATTACATTACCTTTATACCCAGGTCCAGACCCATTATTTTTTCCAATGTAGCTGGTGGCCTCTCCTTGTCACTGTGCTGCTACAGCAAATATCTTTTCCCAAGTGTCACTTCTGTTCATTTTCCATCAATATTGCTTCAGGCAGAGGGGTATCCCTGAGCTGCAAAATGCCCCATTAGGAAGCTGAAAGCTTCATGAGAAATGTTGTCCTAATTGCATGTAACACAAACACAAGAATGCCCCCCCCAAAGGACAGAGAAAAAAACCTGGACAAATAACATTTAGTGAGCTCTCACCTTGTACTGCAAGCATTAAGCTCTACCAACCTTTCAGAGATCCCATGCAGGAGGGAGTTGAGTTTTCTGAGGCCCCCAAGTCACTGTCCTCAATCTGGCTGATAATGAGTGCCTGAGTCTCAGGGAGAGTCATTCTAGGCCAACCAAATCCTTTGGTTTAGAGCACAGTGCTAATGAGGGTCATGGGCCCTGGCTGCACTGGGCCACTTTGCATGAACATAGGAAGGGAAAAACTCTTGAAGCACATGTTCTGCTGGTGTTGGGTCAATAGTGTCACCTTTGAATAGGCAAGACAGCACCACCTCAAACATATTGACCATTTTCTCTCACTTAGAGACTTATACCTCTTGTGTCAACATTTGCATCCATCTGCATTGGTTAAAAATGTGTTTATTTCATAACTCATTAATGACCAAACTAGAAGAACCTTAGAGATCATCTAGTTTAAAAACCTTTCATTTTAAAAGTGAGGAAACTGAGGCCCAGTAATTTGCTTAAGGCCATATAACTTAGGTAACCAAAAGTAACTAAAACATGATTCCTGACAACTGATGAAAAAATGGTTCCTTCTTTTCACAAGCATAGGCTACATTCACTGGAAAAAGGCTTTAAACCTGGTAGGGATCATCTAGTCAAACTGTCTCATTTTAGAGATGAGGAACCATGGCCCAAGGGCCCACCCAATGTGGACAAGATACGAGATTTGAAAACATTAACTTACAATCATAATACAATCCAGTAAGCATTAACAGTTCAATATAGACTTAAGTGTTTCATAAATAAAGAGAATTTTGTTAATTATCATGATTACATTGTATCAATCTTTCTAAGAGGCAAGGGTAGGGTTTGGAAATGAATAAAAGGAAATGATGAGTTTTCATGCATGTCCTAAACTAAATTGCTATAAATCATCCTCACAGTTAACCAAAGTTAATTTGCTATCATTCCAGTGGCAGATACATTACATTCCCCTGGAATACAGTAAAAATGAATGGAAATAAATATTTAGTGTTAGTATAAAAATGAAATTTTCACAGGGATGTATAGCCTAAAGCAAGATTTAAAGTGACTGACTGGCTTAACATTCAGGCCACATATATTAGGAACCCTGGCCTGGGGTAGAATGCTCCTATTTTCAATTTCGAAGATCAGATATAGACTAATCAGTTCTTAGGCACTCCTCTAACAGAAGCATAACTAGGGCAGGGTGACTAACACTATGTCTCAGGGCAAAGAAATTTAGAGGACACTGACAGCACTTGCAGATCTTTAAGCATCATAGAAAGGACTGAGCTTAGCACCTAATAAGAAAGGATGATTAGCTAAAATAGGAAACTACCAGACAGTTCTTCATTTCCCTCAGTGGCTGCACCCAGATGAGCTCTTCTCCGGTCCTTGGCCCTCCCTTCTTTCTCTAGTAGCAAGCTTGAGGGCACATTCTATGCTGCTTGAGCTCCAGGCTCATTTCATATTTCCCACCTTAGGCATAATATTATTATTTATGACTCTGGTCCTTAGCAATCTTCTATTTACATTGGTGGGTCTCCTGACTTTCTCTAATGTAAAATCAGTACATCCAAAGTAACTTCTCTGTAGACTGAGACCAAGGAAGGAAAAGATTCATTTCATGACCCAAGTTAGTCCAACCTACCTTTTCATCACAGGCCATTGGGACTGTTATGGTTTTTTCTTTCTTTCATCTTTTTTTTTCAAGTTCTCCAGACCTTTTCTTAGCATTTGCTCTCACACTCTTCCTCTCACCACCTAGTGAACTTTACAAAGATGAGGAAGCTGGATAGCTTTGACAATTGTACATCAGCACCTATTACTATCTTGGGTTTTCTTAGATTGAAGGTTTCAAAGTGAGGCTCTCTAGGTTAATAGATAGAAAGAAAGGATGTAACTTGTACATAAATGATGTTCCTAATGAATAGAAAAGTAACAGTATATTACTGTGCACTCCAGGTGGTGCCATATCTAACATGTATGCTATGTTGATTGCACGTTTCAAGATGTTTCCAGAAGTCAAAGAGAAAGGAATGGCATCTATTCCCAGACTGGTTGCCTTCACATCTGAGCATGTACGTGTTTCTGTTTTTATCAATGGTATATTTTGTGAATGTCACTGCGGAAAAAAAAAAAAGATACTCAGAATTGCTATCTATCTCTATCTCCACATTCCATTCTTGTCACCCACTTGGGAAAGAGGGGGGCAGGGGAAGGATTTATTTACTGGGAGGGAGGAACTTGCTTTTCTGTTTCTGAAATGCAGGTTTTATGCATTATAGAACTGGATTTTCCTAATATCTGTGCTTCTATTGCTTCTTCTCTTCCTCAGTAAACTGAAGAAATATTGATTCTTTCAGACAACTAGGCTACCATTGAAGCTGTGCCCACATAATACCTAAGTGCTCTGTCTATCCAATTGAAAATATAATCAAACAGATGTGTTATTTACATAATGCCAGACAACTCACTCTTTACCTGACTTGACTGGATATTCTAACATCAAATAGCAAGTCAGCATCCTTTTGCCTATGGTTAGGTCTAGACTCATTGGTCCCTTGCCCAGCCTCCTTTAAGTCAAGGAAACTCCAAACTCAGCATTGAATCCGGCCCAGGATTACGTTCACTCCTAACTGCTGTCTAGGCAGTAGGATACTGATATTTTGCCAGATTTCTAAACCCTGACCAGGCACCACACTAAAAGTCTACTAAATGGTCCCCTAGCAGCCTTAAAAGAGCAAATTCTCATCTAAAGTGCCCAAGTTTCAAGGAAAGAGAGTGAGGGTGTAATTTAGGCCGTGAGAAAAACTGTTCCATTTGATCATTTGTTTCTCTAAAGGCTATGACACTTTGACCCTGAGGGTGTTGAGCTTTCTTTCACATACCAGTGAAGGAGTAAATGAGAACAAAACCACCAATCAGCTGCTTTGGAATCCATTCCAATCATCTGAATAAATAAAATAAACTTGAGATTTCATTGACAGTTAGCATCAGATAAGATACCAACCTATCTTGCCACTCACTGTGACATTCCTTCACAAACTCTGCTATGAATTGTCAAAGGATCTCAAGGGACTATTTCATTGGATGCTCAAGGACTCCACTGGTGACAGTGAAAGCAAATGATAGGGAAGGGGATAAGAGAGACATGTAGAGAATGGCCACAGGAGATCTCAGAAAGCTGAAAGAAGAACCAACTTACAAGGGGGTATTTTAAAATCCAATTCTTCATTTTTCTTTTCTTTTTTCCTATTTTAAATATTTTATTTTGTTTTCAAATGAAAAACAAAGAAAGGAAAGGAACAAAGAGATCACAAACACATAAAATTAAGAATAAGTACAGACTAGAAAACCCATATTTATACTTTATAACCATAGCTAGTAGCCCTGGAGCTAAAGGGAAGGTAATAGCTGAATGTCAATTAATTATAATTGAGCATTTCATTTTTGATTGTGTGTTTTTTTAACTTTTCAAAGACATCCCTTTCTCTGTCTTCAAAGGGGTTCAGTTAAGCAGGTTACATGAATTTGAGAGAACCACCCTGTCTCCAATTTTCTGTACCACTGTGCTCTTGCACAGTGTGCTCTTGGAATCGGTGTCCCAAAGTTGTAGTAATGACTTCCTGGTCTCACGAGTTAAGTCTCTCTATATCCTTACAAACCCTGAGTTTTATTACAGAAGAACACTGAACTTAGACCAGCTCAGAATTGGCTCTTTTTGCTGCTATTAGCTTACCTTGAGGAGGTATACCAGGGTAGTGGTATATCCCCTATGTACATCCATGCTATCCATTAAATGGCCTTTGCCCTGCCATGTTGGCTTTCATTCTCTCCAAGACTAAGTTCCAATTAAGACCTGTTTTCTTGGCTCAATCCCCAACCCAAACCCATCAGAGCATGAGTATTGTGTGCCATGCTTTCTTTTCTTGGTGTCTAAGAGGTAGAATCTCTTTCCATCATTTTTGAGGGGAAGAAAGTTGTCAGGTTGTTTATTTGTTTTTTGCAACTTCCTCTTGACTCTCCTTCTTCCAACTGTAATCAACTTAGACAAGTCATTGGGCAGGGGAAATTATCATATGAACTTCAGTAAAAGTGCTAGGTGGTTCTGATAGCCTTACAATCTTGATGAATTTTTTTTTTGCTTTTTGGTGAGGCAATTGGGGTTAAGTAACTTGCCCAGGGTCACACAGCTAGTAAGTGTCCAGTGTATGAGGCCAGATTTGAACTCAGGTCCTCCTGACTCCAAGGCCAGGGCTCTATCTACTGTGCCACCTAGCTGCCCCTGATGAATTCTTTACATCATATCTGACAGATGAATTAAAGTTCATTAAAGACTAGCTTAGTTCAAAGATCCATTGGTGGGATTTATTTTCGTTGAGATCCAGCATTTCGACAGCATTATATTATACTGAAAAAGATGTCATTGCTGACCTTTGCCCAAGGTCATGCCAAAGGCATAGACTTAACTAGGAACTGTTTTACCTGCAGTAAAAATAGGATAGTGCAACTGAGAGTGGAAGGTGTGGCTTTTTCCTTCCCTCTCCTCCATTAGTCTTTTATCCATTCATTCAACTTCTCCTGGAGCCCACTTTCTTCCCAAAATCTCCATAAGGAAATGAGCAGAGGAGGCCCACAAGGCATGAAGATAACATCTTCTGGACCACTGCAGGGAGGAAGTACAACTTCCATATAAGCAACTGGAGCAAAGCACCAACTTTCCTGCCTTAGTTATGACTCTGTATAAAGGTATATTAGGTACAAAAGGCATATTACCAGCCACTAGAATAAAACCACATTCTTGACATAGACTGACTGAGGTAGTAGAGGCTTTCAGAATTCATTTCATTTATCCCTTGTCTTTGGGAAGATTTCTTTAAATCCCTCCAAAAAGAAACACATCCATTTATTCCACTCTTTAAGATCCACAGGTTGCATAAAACTTCAGTTTGTAATCCATCCTTCCACTTTAAAATGCTCAGGGCCAAAAAGTTCCTGTCATCTCGCTTAAGCCCATGTTATTATATGCTTGATTCATTTCCCATTGCTCACTCTGAAGTAGACTTTAAGAATAATTTGCCTCCATCATCCATGTATAAATTTTCATATGCTTGAAGACAATGATTGAGGTGCTACTTCAATTCCTTTAATCTGGGGTCGTTTAAAAATTTTGTCATACAGATGGAGAATGCTGGGGATGGACAAGGAATATGCGACTAATGGCAGCAGCAGATTTATGTGTCTCTGCAGCAGAGCTAGGAAGAGTGGCAGGAAGCCAGGGCAGCGGGAAAAACTGCCAATTTCATAGTAAATCCTAAAAAGCTATAGTGGTGGCAGCAATGATCAGAGGCTACCTTAGAATCATAGCATATCAGATCTCTAAAAGACCTCAGAGATCATCTAGCCCATGCATCTTTTTACAAGTAAGGAAAATGGAACTCATAAAGGTGAAGTGATGTGCTTAAGGTCATGCAATTACTGACGGAGGCAAGAGAGGCAAGGAGGTTCAGTGGAAAGAGCTCCACATCCAAATCTGGAGTTAGAGAATCTAAGTTAAAATATTGGCCATCTACTTACTGCTTGTATGACTTTGGGACAGTCACTATTCTCTCTTGGTTCTCCTCCAATCTGTCTAACTATTCCTTCTCAGTTTCCTTTGCTGGTTCTTCATACCCATTGACCTAGGGTATATCCCAAGGTTCTGTCATCAACACTCTTGTTTTCTCTATATATACTAACTTGTCATCACGTCAGCTCCTAGAGCATTATTTATCATTTCTAAGCAGCTAATTCTCATATGCTCATCCTTAAATTCTCTCTTGAGCTCCAGTCTCAACTCACCAGCTGCATTTTAGATATCTCAAATAGATATCCCATGAGCATCTCAAACCCAACATGCCCAAAACAGAACTCATTCTATTTTCCTCCAATTCTCCCCTATTCCAAACTTCCTATTCCTATCAAGAATACCAATATCCTCCCATAACCTCAATGTCATCCTCAGCTTCTCACTCCACATATCCAATCTGTTGACAAATCTGATTATTTCTACCTTTGCAACATCATATATACACACACATCACATATAATCCAGGCATGATGTGATAAGAATATATATGTGTGTTTATTTCTATCCACATGTATATACATACTATATACACATAAATATTCACATACATATACACATAAACATATATCCCTTTTTTCCTAGGTAGTCTCACCATGATGTGGTGAGAATATATATGTGTATGTATGTATGTATGTGTGTGTATATACATATACACACATATTATGTATATAATATGTGTCTATATGTGTGACAAAAAATGTACATCTATATGTATGTATGTATTTATTTCCCCCCCAACTCAGTCTGGCCTGGACTATTGCTATAGACTTCCTATCCATCTCCCTACCTCAAAACTCTCCCACTACAATCCATCCTTCACTCAGCTGCCAAAGTGATTTCTTTGTAAATTTGACCATGTCCCCCAACTACTCAATAAACTCCAGTGACTCTGTCTTACTTTTAGGGTTCAATATAACCTCCTCTGTTTAGCATTTCAAGTATTTCATAACCTGACCCTTTCCCACCTCTTCAGCCTTCTTGTGCTCTACTTCCCTCCACGCACTCTTCCAGCCTTCTTGCCATTCTGTGGCAGGACTCTCCATTGGCCATCTCTGTGCTTTTGCCTCGGCTGTCCCCTATACCGGGAATGCTCTCTTTCTTTACCTCCATAGTTTCTCTGACTTCCTTCAAGACTCAGCTCAGATCCTACCTTCTGTAGAAGACGTTTCTTGGTGTCCCCAGGTACTGGGGTGTCTCTTTGAGATTACCTTCCATTTACTCAACACCATTTATTCTCTCTTGGTTCTCCTCCAATCTGTCTAACTATTCCTTCTCAGTTTTCTTTGCTGGTTCTTCATCCCCACTGACCTAGGGTATATCCCAAGGTTCTGTCATCCTTGAGATCAGGGACAAAGTTTTTGTGTTTCTTTGTATCCCCAGGGCTTTAGTGTAGAGCCTAGAAGATGGTAGGTGTTTAATAAATGCTTCTTAACTAACTGACTGAACCTC